CAAGGAGATGTCTTTGTTCCTTTTTTTACAAAAAGGCTCTGAATGAACAAGCTATATGCACACGTAAGGAATGACACCTGACATACACAGCCTTTTGTAACAACCCACCAACACAAAAGGTGAAGTCATTGGAGAGAGCAGAGGACCCACTTGAATGAGCACAGTCATAACAAACAGAAGTGTTTGTCTAAAGGTGAAGCACCTGACATACTTTTGACAAATTGTAACCAGCAGTTGTGTTAAGGTTATTTTCACAGTACATTCACTTGAAGGTAGTGTGCACAATTTTAGAGATAACAAATAATTCACTCATCTAAAGATTGATACTTGGATTGTAATCTTGATACAATGGACGAACCCCAGCTGGTACTGCTTAGACCAGAAATATAACTTTCAACACTCTTTCACTTGTCAGATCTGGCAAGCTGAGTCAAAGGGAGATATTTTATAGGCGATACTATGATCATAGAGAATCTTATTATTTTTCTGTTGTGAGATGTGTTTTAGGCTTCTCCCATTCAAATATTGTGTTAATCACTGTAGCAACCTGCCCCATTTTTCATCATCATAAACCTGCGTAAAATATCCTAACCCTACTTATATGGTCACACAACAATGGGCCCTATATCTCTTCTATTCCTGTTAAAATTCAGATGCTGCAGCCGTAGTGAGAACTTGTTCTTTCATCCCACACTCCACATAAAAGACTATGCTGCTGTTCTGGCTCTCTTCGCACTTTCTGTTTTATCCTTGGTAAAGAGAGAAGCTAAAGTGCTAGGGAGTGCTTCAAAAAGAATAGACTGATCAAACGCACTCATCACAGCTACAAAGAACATGTCTCCAGCGCGCTAATGCTACACGAAGTCCTCAATCTTTTCATAATATCACAGGAGAAGTCACCGGAGGACAATTTAGAATAAAAGAACAGTATTACATTCAGTACACGTTTTCAAAAGGGTAAAAGAACAGTATCGTTATTGACTGCAAACCCCATAGGCTCAGATGTCAGGCATCTTGTTTTAAAGGTGTGCCATCTCATCATATCATCAAAACATGTTGTTTTGCCTGGAACAATCAACGGCATGTGTTAAAATGTAAACTATCTAGTCTTTATCTTTCATATGTACTGTTAGAATTCACGTTTTCCGTATTATTTATGAATGAGGTCTGCACAGAATTGACAGGTCGATTTTCCCTGCTGAGTCACCAACTTGTTGGAACAAAGATATAAGGCAGATTGTAGAACATCTGGGAGGCACAACATCTGGGAGACATGTTGCTGATGATAGGGCTCATGTAAATTTGCCTCAAGTGTAATGAAAACACCAATCAAACCATTTTCTTCTGCTTTATTCATTGCCAGGCAAACAAACAAAATCTGAAATTCTGAAGCAAATACTTTCATGAATGTAAATACCTATTAGTTGGGATAATTTTATGTTCATTGTAAACACCATCTTGCCCAAAGGCACTGGAACTGCAGGTCAGAGCTGGTTGATCGTCTTTCAGACCTGTTCTGTTTATTTCAGCTGGCATGAGTCTATGGGAGGTAAAGTACATCTGTTGACAACACCATAATACTTTGTTAAAGATCTTCAAAAGTGGTCTAAGATTTAAGTAACCAAATGGAATAACAGCATCTGGACCTGTGTGCTGGCTTTGATTCCCCTTTTTGACCTGACGCCCCCTCTCCCCTATTCTTCTTTGTCTGTGTGTGTGTGTGTGTGTGTGTGTGTGGGTGTGTGTGCGCACGCACATAGGATTGTGTGCACGGGTGGGTGTGCTTGTGTGTCTGTGTGCGTGCGCACATAGGATTGTGTGCACGGGTGGGTGTGCTTGTGTGTCTGTGCATGTGTGTTTGTGTGTGCGCGTGCGTGTGTGTGTATGTATGCATTTACAGTTTGCAAGTTTTTACGAGCAGGCCATAGCCTCACACTGCGCCACTTCCACCTCGTCTGGGCGCGCTCCATCAACACACGTGTTTTCCATTGGGCTCTTTCATTCCCCTCTCCCTCACCTTCTCTCCTCCTTCTCCCTCAGTTCCTTTGGTGTGTTTTAACAGCCGGCTAAAGCTCTGATGTGTTTACATGATCTTGCTGCCTGTTGCGCGGCCGTTTAATGCTTGCTCATAAATTATACAAGAAGTCGACAAACTCCCCGCCAGCCCATACTGCGGTTTCAAGCACTTGCCAGAATTCTGTGCTACGGCTAACATCTCAGTAAGTGGATTCCGTTTGGAGCACTTGACCCACCAGAGGCAGTTATAAAAGGCAAAACTAAGAAAATCTTCAGTTAAATGAAACCTAATAATAAAATATAAGATTAATGAAACTACAAAAAGATAAAATGTTCTATGTTTAATCTACTTTTTGAATTCCCTAATAACTGAGGAGATGATATACAATTGTGTTCCGACCCATTGTTGGGTCGAGGGGCAGAGGTCTAAAATAAAGACGCCAAGACTACACACACTGCCTCCAGCTCATCCAGAGGAATCTGGCAGTGTTCCCATGACAGCTGAGAGACACAGACGGAGATGCTGCGGCAGCGCTACAAAGCAATTAGCAAAAACGACCAGGCTCCTTATTGGAAGTGAACAGCGTCTACACAATGAAGGAAAATTGTGTAAATCTAACAACACGACATGTGTGACCCCTATCATTATTAGAACGTCCTCAACAACATCCTCCTCAGGGCAATGCAAAGATGTGAAAGAATGCACCAACATCAATATGCATTTAACAGTAGCTGCAAAGATAGAAACTGAAACTACAGCTTCACTTGGTTTTATTTGGATGAATGAAGGAGTAGAATTCTCCTCTGTGTAGCACTTGAGGAACATGCAGTATTAGTTAGTCTGAAACTTCGTCACTGTGACAACAAAGGCCAATACGATACTCAACTCTAACGTTTTACTGTCCCAGCATTCTTGTGTAAACAGCACAATAGTCCATCTAGCATGTCCTGGGTCTTCCCCAGGGACTTGCCCACCAGGAAAACCTCCTCAGGGAGACGTCTCGAAGGCATCCAAAACAGATACTTAAGCCACCTCAATTGGCTCGTCGTGACATAGAGAGGCAGTGGTTGTGCTCTCACACTCACTTGTCCTCAGCCTTTTTCTTTATGGCCTATGTACAGTCTCAGGGGGCTGGATTTGGGATGGAACCTGTCATGCATAGTGTAGAGCTTTCGAGTTTTAACATCTGTATCTTGCCGTCTGAATCTTGCCAGTTGCCCGTTCCTCGTAGTGGAACAAAGCGAAAGTGCCCGAGATGCGAGAATATTGTTCTGTTGGAATGCTACAATTCAAGTAACCCTGGCCAGAGACGTTACATGCAGAGATTGTGGGCTGAATGGTTACTTCGAAACCCACATAACAGTCACAGTTGACCCCGAAACAACTATTAGCTCAATTCTCCAACCTCCACAAACGGCAACTGCTATCACAGCTTGAGTTCGATGAGGTACAACACATGTACGATGCCGCAGATGCCGAGGTCAGAGGGGAGGTCCCACCAACACCAACTCCCCAACCAGATATGGTGTACATTGTCCCAATGGAACCCATAACGCTAAACAAGGCAGCGACTGACCTGAAAGCTAAGATCATGGCTAGAATGGGCACAGGGCATAGACACCGTTTACAGCGGTTGTTTGAAGCACCACCTAAGGATCTTTTAGAAAGTGTGAATGCAGCAGTGAAGGCAATGCCTACCACCACAATCACTGACACTAATGAGCTGATATACACTTCGGCAGCAGTGATTGATCCTAGAGATGCTTGGCTATGAGAGCAACTATGGGAGCCATGGTACAATGAAAAAACCGGTACAAAAGAAGTACAGCCAAATGACCATACCTGAATCACTCGAAACTGCCTACAGAGGTACTCTAAAGAGAATGAAGCTAGAAGAGTAAACAGGCTGTTTGCAATACAACCTGCAAAGGGGTACGCTCAGTGGCAGGGAAACAACAGGGGAGCAGATCCACCCATCCCATATGGGAGACGGAGGCAGCACATAACAGCAGTGCACAATGGCTGGTGTCTCTGATAGAGGAGCACAGCCACCTCTCAGAACAGAACTCAGTTAGCATCACATAGGCAGAAATCCGAAAGAGTATCAGGTATGAAAATGTGGATGACCACCCAAATGGCAAGCCGCTTGCACAAGTGACCATAAAATTCTACCAAGGAGATGCTCTGTCCCCACTACTGTTCTGCATAGGCCTGAACCCTCTAAGCCAAATAATTGACCAGACTGGCTATGGATACCGCCTCAGGAACGGAGCAAAGATCAGTCACCTCCTCTACATGGATGACGTCAAGCTGTACGCCAAGAGCGAGAGAGACATTGACTCTCTGATCCAAACCACCAGGATCTACAGCCGTCATGGCTGATGTCATATCGGGATGACATTCGGACTAGACAAGAGCTAGCGAGGGCTCTCAGTACAATTCCAAAAACGTACACATCACATGATATTCATTATTACATAGTTGAACCGATGAGCACAATTGAAGTAAATTGTTGAAGATGTTGGGGAGTTCTGGTTTACACTCAAAGTGGATGGAACTAAAGACCCGACAGGCAGTGAAAATGTCTCTATAGTGGATTTGACCAACACAGAAATGAATGAGGGACAGTTTGCAGTTGCACGTGTCTCTTTGAAAAACCGGTGCACAGGTCAGGACGAGAAGAAAGTGACTTTGAGTCAAGATGAATGGAAGGAGATGCTGTTAAGGAGGTTCCACTCATCAGGAAAGAAGAGAATGCAACTCTATTGAAGGTATGAGCTGCTTATTTTATCATCCGTATTGTTGATGCTACTGTTTGTTACCGATGTGATTATTGATCATACGCATCACATGTTAGATCAGCGCTGTGTGATTTGTGGAGTGTTTTGATGTTGCTCTGGGCTACATGTGAATTGCTTTTGATTGGCTCGTGGCCAAAACTGAGATTCAGACCACAGATGTTAAAACTCGAAAGCTCCTCACCATGCATGGCGGGTTCCATCCCAAATCCAGCACCCTGAGACTGAACGTAAGCCGTAAAGAAGGAGGCCGAGGACTAGTGAGTGTTAGAGCCACTGTCCAGGACGAAACATCCAAACTCCATAACAACATCATGGAGAAAGCCAAAAAGGATGACATACTCTGTGAATGTCGCAGACAGTGGCGAGATGAGGAGGTGCTGGAGGTGAACCCATCTTGGGAGGACAAGCCCTTGCACGGCATGTACCACCGGAGCATAGCAGAAGTGGCTGATCTCAAGAAGTCCTACCAATGGCTAGAAAGGGCTGGCCTACAGGACAGCCCAGAGGCACTCATCATGGCTGCACAGGAGCAGGCCCTGAGCACCAGAGCGATAGAGGCCCAGATATACCACACCAGACAAGACCCAAGGTGTCGGTTGTTCAAAGGAGGACTTGAGACGATCCAACACATAACGGCAGGGTGCAAGATGCAAGATGCTGGCAGGTAAGGCCTACATGGAACGCCATAACCAAGTGGCTGGCATAGTGTAGAGAAATATCTGTGAGAGTATGGGCTAGAAACCCCAAGGTCTAAGTGGGAAACTCCTCCAAAGATTGTGGAGAATGAGCGTGCGTAGATCCTGTGGGACTTCCAGATACAGACCGACCGAATGGTAATGGAGAACCAACTTGACATTGTGGTGTTGGACAAAGGGCAGAAGAAAGTCGCGGTGGTGGATGTGGCCATTGCAAGCGATGGTGATATCAGGAAATAAGAACACAAATAGCTTGAGAACGACCAAGGGCTCAGAGAGGAGCTGGAGAGGGCCTGGAGGGTAAAGGTGACAGTAGTGCCCATGGAAACCTTGGAAATCTCGGTCCAGAAATGTGCAGTGCTAGGAACAGCAAAGATACTGCGCAGAACCTTCAAGCTCCAAGGCCTCTGGTAGAGAACCCGAGCTTAGAGAGGGATAACCACCCGCGGAGGGCGAAAGGTGAGAATTTTTCTTATATATATATATTAGGGCTGAAAAAAAAAAAATGAAATGAAAAATTATATTCATTCGAGGCTTTGTAATTAATTAACCGCATTTAATCGCATATAAATATTTGACCTGAGAACTGCGAGATGTAATTTTTTTCCCATCCACGGGGCCAACCAACGCATTCACATCAGCTTCTTTGTTCATGGTCACTGTGCCACTGTGACCATGCGCGTTAGTTGATGCTCCAGTACAATCGGTCCCTGTCCACACGTAACCGGGTATCTGCCAAACCACAGATATTTGTCTTTGTTTGCACCTGTCATCCACATGACAACGCATCATAAACAAATATATAAAAAAAACTGCGGGCAAAGTGAAGATTTTCGAAAACTCTGTTATTTGCGTGTAGACAGAGATAACCGGAGTTTTGCATTCTCGCACATCACAATATGTGCCAAAAAACAACAAACAAAACATGCGACCTCTGATCACTGAAGAAGCATGGATCTTACTACCTTAAAAACTGTTCAAACATCCTCGCTCCACATCAGAGAGCAGCAAAGCGATCACGGGGACTCTAAAAAACAACCAAAACAGGAGCTAAACCAGGATTAAACCAGGGCTGAGGACGGGGAACAAAGTGCTTGTGAACATATGTCTTCATCCTGAGTTTCTTCTATGACTGTAAAAGTGCCGCTACAGAAGTATCGGCTTCAGCATCAAAGCTCCGCCCACTTCCATTTTTGGAATGTTATGAATGTGATTGAAAACGCAGATGTTCGGTTATGTGTGGATGCAAATTATTTTATAAACGGAGGGGGGGGGAATACTTTTTTAAATACCTGGCTACGTGTGAACATGGCCTGAAACTCATCCAGTGAGAAACATTCGCGGTGCAAAAATGAATACGATGAAAATGTTTATATATATATATATATATATATATATATATATATATATATATATATATATATATATATATATATATATATATACGTACTATATATATATATATATATATATATATATATATATATATATATATACACATACTATATATATATATATATATAATATATATATATAGGGTAGGAGAATCTCTGAAATTAAGATAAATATGACAAACAGAGCATAAGTCCATCATTAATGCTTAATGGCAATGTATGAAACCATAAAACTATCTTTGCACTTGGAAAAAAGTACATGTATATGAGTATGTAAGTATAAGATATAACAACAGTATGCTCTGGTCAGAATTGATCCTTCAACTTATTTTTTCTATGAACCCTACTTCATGATTACAAATTCTTCCAGTGTCCACATCTAATTAAAAAAGTAAGCTTTTGACTTAAAACTGATCTGCCATAACTAACTGATTATTTCCTTATAACATGATTAAAATGTAAAGCACATTCCTTTCCAAAGCACAACAATGCAGTCATGTAACGCTGTCTTGCAAAATGAATTTTCAGTGATTGTTATCAGTGTTCAAGTAACATACATCACTTCAACTGTGCAGACTCAAGTCATCTGTTTTCTTTGGAGAGTTAGAAACATTGCATAACAAAGAAATGTGGTAATCCAACTTTATTCTTTAGTATTATATTTTATAATATAATATTCTATTATTGAACCTGGAAGAAAGAGAAAAAGGTATGTGCCAACAGGTTTATGTGAGAGCATAGAGCTTGATTGGCAATCTACATCTTGCCCAGGGACTACAGTTGAAAATTAGCTTTGGAGCTAAAACTGGCACATTTACAGTGATGTTAATTAATGTGCATTGTCCCTGTTTAAATAAACTAATAAAATAAAAAAATAAAAAAAAATGATTGGAAATTATACTGGGAATCAAAAATATCTAATTGAATTAATCACAAATCGCACATCTAACAAAAATTATCACATTACTCTTAAATTTCTATACAATAAATTATTCATTTAGACTATGATTTACGGAATTATGTCAAACAATTCATTAAATATTAAAAGAGAAATAAAGTCTTGTCTACTCGTCTCTATGTGACACACAGAGCACATAAATCTGCAGGACACATAAACAAGCTGAGAGTATGAAGGTTATTTTGTGTTTTTATTATCAACACTTTTTTTTGCTTTTGAATTCTATAAACTGTAACAAAAAAGTATTCAGTGTAAATAAATTCAATGTTTTAAAATTCAGTGTCAAAATAATCAATGTTTTAAAATTCAGAGTCAAAATATTCAATGTTTTCAAATTCAATGTCAAAAAATTCAGTGTTTTCAAATTCAGTGTCAAAAAATTCAAAGTTGAAAAAAATTCAGTGTCCAAAAATTCGTAGCATTTTTTTCTCTGCTTGAAATGTCATACTTTATTTCCGGGTAAATCAAGACAGAAGCAATCGATCAGCCAATCCTCCATAGATGTAGCCAGGGCTAGAACACGACTTTGGCTTTATCCGAATGTCCGCACTATACCGTGCGGGACTATTGTGAGTGAGTGACTGAGTGAGTGGACTCATTCTGATGGTGATTCGGACGCTGCACACTATTATCAGGCCGTGCTGTTGTACGTGAGCGTCCCGCTGTAGCGTGGATCACGGAGCGGAGAGAGGAGCGGCCATGACAAGGTAAAGGTAAAAGTTGAATTTACGTTTTAATTAGGACATAACATTTAATTGTATTAATATTGGGAGGTGGGAAATAGCCCCTTCTATTGTTATATCAGAGGTCTGTTTGGTGATTAAACAGATTTTCTTTGGACTTTTTCTCCAGCCTTGAGCTTCAGTGCTAACACGCTAACCACGGGTGTAGAGCTGCGCTGATGCCCAGAATGGAGCGTCATGCGCTGGTGAAAATGTGATAATGTGCATTTACTGATGACAGGGGGACATCTGTGAACATGAAGCTGGACACAGAAGACGCGTGGACTTGAACTTACGAACCAGATTTAAGGTCATGAGTACTTGCTTTTTGAGCACAAGCTCCTTGCCTCTTGAAATCCAACAGACCTGATCATGTCAGAGTTAATGGCTTAAATGTATTTAAGATTAGAAGTACTTAAATAAAAGCTATGAAATATGTTTCTCACGGATTGTGTGGTTGGAAAAAACGCATACATCACTTTTCATTGCAGACAAAGAACTAAATCATAATAATTTTATTTTATTCCAGGTTGTGATGAGTCCACCATAGAAAAGACAGCTGTGTCAGAGGCAGACGTCCAGGCACCTGCTGCTGCTGCTGCTGCTGCTGCTGCTGCTGCTGCATATGTCTTCAGAAAATGAGAGATGTGTTCTAACTATCCATGACTTGTAATTAATAAAACAAATGAACATAATGGTCGTTGTAGTTTATATCGTAATCCACAGGAGCTGGAGGTGATGGAAATGGATGAAGAAATGATGGCCTCTGAAAGACAGCTGCCTCTGGAAAAGAAATTCACACAAAATCATTAATTAATCGGTTCTTCTGGGATTAAAATTAGTCTTTTGTTACAATCAGACATGTCAACATATGTTCATATACATGTACTGTCCCAGTCAAATTAATACAAATACACAGTAGTAGAGTAGAAACAGACGCTCTGAGGAGGAGCATAAGTACGATGCCTTTACAAACACACACATGAACTTAACATGTCATATCAACAGTAAATGTAAATACATTGCCAGTCTTTAACAGGAGGCTGGTAGAGTGGGATTTACAAATATACTCAATTAAAACCATATCTATCAGTCTGATTCCTCTCTGTAGCATTAATATTGAATCCATTGGTTTGTTTTCTCCCTACAGAACCGATCCTTCATTCCGTCTTGGTTTCACTAAGATGTCAAAATTTAAGAGTAAAGATAGAATACTTATCGTCTGCTCTGTCTCTAAAACAGTCAGCAGGTTTGGTCCTTGCTGCACTGCTAGAATAATATACACATTGAAATTGGGAACATAGTACATATGTCACACAAGAACCGCAAACCCCCATGTACTTGGCTTTCCTGCGGTTCATTTTAGCTTAGCATTAGAGAAGATCAGCTTTGGGGAATCGCCAAAACATAGAAGCCACCTACGCGGAGCTAGCTAATGATAAGCTAAGGTAAAAACATGTTCAGAAAGTACATACAGTAGTGGTTTGCGTGTTACATACCAACTAATGATGAGAAAACACACTTACTGGTTTGCTTTTGCTGTGGACGCCATGTTCAGATGAACAAGACAGTCGTGTTCTAGCCCTGGCTACATCTATGGATTGGCTGATCGATTGCTTCTTTCTTGATTTACCCGGAAATAAAGCATGACATTTGAAGCAGCGAAAAAAAAAGCTACGAATTTTTGGACACTGAATTTTTTTCAACATTGAATTTTTTGACACTGAATTTGAAAACATTGAATTTTTTGACACTGAATTTGAAAACATTGAATTTATTTACACTGAATACTTTTTTGTTACAGTTTATAGAATTCAAAAGCAAAAAAAAGTGTTGATAATAAAAACACAAAATAACCTTCATAGAGAGTATTTATAAATATATTAAAAGAATGCAACA